AACCAACTGACATTAACACTGACATTATTATCGGCCAAGGTCCTAGTTTACATTAGGTTTCACTCTTGGTGTGGTTCTGTGGGTTTTGACAAATATAGTATAATGATACGTACACACCATTATAGTATCATACATAATAGTTTCACTGCCCTAAAAATCTCCTGCGCTGTACCTGTTCTTCTCTTCTTCCCCCCTGGTAACCACTGAACCACCCTCCTCTTCTCAGTTTCATGCTTTTCCAGAACGTTATATACAGGGGTGGGCAAAAGTAGTTTTAAAGGTGTAATCAAATAATACAAGAGTAAACTGTTAATGCATACTCAACAACTGTGAACCTACTTTTGCCAAGCCTTGTATTTGGAATCATATAGCATGTAACCATTTCATACTGGCTTTTTTCACTTAGTAGTAACTATTCAAGGCTCCTCCATGTCTTTTTGTGGTAGCTCATTTTTCCTGCGCACACCCCCCAATGGGGACTTGGCAGGTAATCAAGGCATGTGCCCTGATTGAGAATTGAACTGGCAACTTTTTGGTTCACAGGCTGGCACTCAATCCACTGAGCCGTACCAGCCAGGGCTGATAGCTCATTTCTTTTTAGCACTGAATAGTATTTCATTGTTTGGATGTATCACAGTTAATTTTTTTGAAACATATCTTGGTTACTTCTAAGTTTTAGTGATTACAAATAAAGCTGCTGTACACATTGTGTGCAAGATTTTGTGTAGACATAATTTTTAACTCGTTTGAGTAAATACCAAGGAATGCAACTGGTGGGTCATATGGTAAGAGTATGTTTAATTTTGTAAGAAACTCCCAAACTGTCTTCCAAAGGGGTTTGTACTATTTTGCCTTCGTACCAGCAATGAATGAGAATTCCTGTTGCTCCCACATCCTTGTCAGCATTTGACGTTGTTAGTGTTTTGGTTTTTAGCCATCCTAATATGTAGTGGTATTTCATTTTAATTTGCAATTCCCAAATGATAAATGATGTCGAGCATCTTTTCATACACTGATTTGCCATCTGCGTATCTCTTCGGTGAGGTGTCACTTCAGATCTGAAATTTTTAATTGTGTTTTTGTTTAATTTTAAGAGTTCTTTGTATATTTTAGATAATAGTCTTTTATCAGATGTGTCTTTTGCAAATATTATCTTCCAGTCTGTAGCTTGTCTTCTCTCTTAACAGTGTCTATGGAAGACACTGTTATGGAAGAACAGAAGTTTTAAGTCCAGTTTATCAATTTCTTTCATGGATCATGCCTTTGGTATTGATCTAAAAAATCATCACCAAACACAAAATTGCCTAGTTTGTTGTTTGCTTTTACTTGGTTTCCATGTCATTAGATGAGGCTACATTTATTTTGGTGGCAGATGAAAAGTGTTTTATGCTTTATCTGCTTTTGTGGGATTTGATGGTATTTATTATTTTTATTTTTATTTATTGATGAGAGAGAGAGAGACATTGATTTGTTGTTCCACTTATTTATGCATTCATTGGTTGCTCTTGTATGTGCCCTGACCTGGGATGAATTCGCAGTTTTGGTATATCAGAACGACATTCCAGCCAACTGAGCTACCCAGACAGGGAGGTATTTATGTTTTTGCATTAACAAATTTTAGTCAATTAGCCATTTTCTATAGGGAAAATTTAATTTAGTTTAAATCTGCAAATTTATGCAATTTTAGACCAAGAAATAATATAAAAGAGTGTCTAGATCAAATCCTTCATTTTATAAATGAATATACAATGGATGAGAAATATAACATGATTTGTATGCAGTGGTACAGCAAGTTAGCAATAAAATCAGGACTTACAATTGGTAACTAGTTTAAAGAACTGAAATGATGGAAGATGTGATCATTTTACTTGTTTGAAAAATACCCTTTTTTGTTGTTGTTTGTTGGTAGGTGTTATTCTTTGTTACTGGGTATTGTGGTTCCTAGTGTTTAAAAGGGTGTATTCTTTAAAAAGTGAACAGTATAAACTAGTGTTTCTACTTTTCGAGTGTTGGTTTATTATACAGATCAAACAGATACTCGTAAGTGAGAAGTAATCTCTCAGTTCACTAAGTTAGTTATGGTTATTTGTGGAATATTTCTCAGGCTGTTAAAGTCAGCTGTCACTAAAATTAACAGATACTTACATTTTGAAAAAAAATAAACTTTAGATGTTTATTAGATATTTTTCTTCAGATACGTTTATCAGTTCCTGTTACATTTGCAGAATACCTCTTGCTTAGTTCTTGTCCACATAGTCTTACACAGTTAGAATCAATGAACTACTTTTTTATTTTTCCCCTTGTATTTAACTTAAAATTAACATATTTTATACAGTTTCAAAACTTTTTTAATGACTCCTAAGAGTTGCATTAATAAAATAGTCTTAAATTCTTCCCCTCTTGTACATTTGTTTCTACTTTTATATATATATTAGAGAAATGCTACAGTGAATATCATCTGCATTTTAAATCTGTAATAGCTATGGAAAATATGATATTCTTCTCCCAGTGTTCCCTTTTGCCTTTTCTTTCTGGAAAAAAAAGAAAGTCACAAAGTAGCTTAAGAGAAAGAGCATGAACTTTGAAATTACTGCAGTTTGGGTTTGGAATTTGAGCTTCTTTACTTACAATTAATTGAGTAAGCTTTTAAAAAAGATTTTATTTATTGATTTTCAGAAAGAAGGGAAGGGGGAGAAGGAGAGGGAGAGAAACGCTAATTAATATTCCAGAGAAACATCCGTTGGTTGCCTCTCCCATGCCCCCAGCAGGGGACCTGGGTGGATACCCAGACATGTGCCCTGACTGGGAATCCAACCAGTGACCCTTTGGTTCACAGGCTGGTGCTCAAACCCACCGAGTCACACCCACCAGCCAGGGTTAAGCATTGAAAAAGTTTAAATCCTTTCTGTAAATACATTATGGTGGTTAAATGAATCTATATGTATTAAAATTTATAGATCTGCACATCAAAATAAAATAAAAAACATGCATAGACGGCTCTAGAATAATATATACGAAGCTGGTGCTAGAGGTTAAATCATCTTAGATAGTTACAAATTTTTGGACAGTATTTTTTTAAATTTAAAGCATAGTTGTCCTAAATTAAATATTTTAAAGGCTAAATTACTTTAAAAATAAAAATAATTCCCAATTGGTGGGATGAGATTCTTTTATCATTAAATCATACAGAGCCCTATCAGGGCACATGCCTGGGTTGCAGGGCAGGTCTTAAAAGAGGCAATTAATCGATGTTTCTCTCGCACATTGTTGTTTCTCTCCCTCTCTTCCTCCCTTCTTCCCCTCTCTCCAAAAATAAAAAATAAAATCTTTTTAAAAATTATATAGAGCTGTAGAGCGAAAAGAGAATTATGAGATTTGGCTGGACATTGGTGCTCTGTGGTATTATGAGGTTTAAGTTAATGTAAGTATTGAATGTTTATCATGTAGGAATTGAGAGGTACTTTGCAGTTAACACCTTAAATAACTTAATCTTTTAACTGTTGCAGAAGTTAAAATGACAAGAGGCAGGTGTAATTTTTTAAAAGATTACTTAACAAAATGTTGGAGATTAAATTAATACAGACTTTCAGGATTGATAGCTTTTTTCCCCCCAATTTTTTAGTGTTTGTTGATTATTGCTTTTCCTCCATATTGGAATACCTTCTCTTAACTCCTATTTTGATTTTTAAGATTTGCTTTTTTAGTCTTTGAAAAATCTATCTCTGTCCTGTTACTCCTTTCTTCTTTTAGAAAGATTTACCACACAATTTTATTTTTTAATATTTTATAGTGGTAAAATGCACATAAAATTTACCATTTTAACTCTTTTAAAGTGTACAGTTTAGTGGCAGTAAGTACACTGACAGTGTTTTAGGATCATTATCATCAGCACTATGTAGTTCCAGAACTTTTTCATCACTACCACACAATTTTAGCACAATTTTAACAATTCTTTTATTGTTCTCTAAATATTTAGCCACTGTATTAAATCTTGGGGGTTGTAAGAGGTAAACAAGACTCCGTTCTTGTCCTAAAGGACTTCATAGCCTGATGAGAGAAGGAAGTAAGCATATATTTATGGCAAGTTATGTTAGAGCTCTCTATGGTTAAAGTTTATTTATGCAACTAAAAGTTTACCTTGAAAAAGCAAAGTATCTTTTTGTTAGATTAACATTCATATTGTCATACCACTCCACACACTGAATCAGTTTAGGCTAGACTGAAGTCTGGTCTTTTAATTCAAATCAATTAAGACTCAAATCCTCATGCCCTTTACTTTGTAACAAGTAGGGGACCAGAAAATTGATATTCTGATATAAAGCCAAATTACTAGTTCTTCCTTTTAGTGGAGCAGGGAGATCAGGAAAAAACCAGAGTTAGAGAGAACTTCTAGTTGACTGCACCTATCTTCAGTTGAACTTTTTGATTCTAGTTGTAGTGATAGCTTGCCCCAGGGTATGGTCAAATACGTACAGGCATGCTTATCTCGCTTGGCAAATTGTTTGAGAAATAGCTGTGTTTGGGGATTCTGTGTCAAGAGGTTGTGTTTTTAAATCCCTTGAATCTTGGGAGTTAAATCTTGATTATTTAAAATGCAATGTTCTAGCAGTTTCAGTTAAAAGCAGTGCTACCAACATCAAACAGTATTATAAATTTTATTTGTGGTGTTCTTATTACTATGACATTATTCTTTAGTACAAGATTGTTTATGAAAAGTAAAACGTAATATAGTCCATTGGTTTTAAGATTCTGGAGTCTCCCTAACATAGCCGGTCTGAGAAGGCTATAATATCCCAATGATTGGTAGTGTTTTAGTTGGTCATCTCAATATTTGTCTTAAGAAGGGGTCACATTACTAGATTCCTAATAAATTGTTAAGATTTTTTAGAAGTCTGAATTTGTGGCACAGTTTTGGTTGTCTATTACAAAAGTGTGAAAAGTTAAAAATAGCCCCTTGATTGATTGCTTTTGAAAAAATAACTGTAGTCTTATTTTTTCAGGGTAATCACTTTGATCAGTATGAAGAAGGACATTTGGAAATTGAACAAGCATCACTTGACAAGCCTATTGAATCGGTAAGATGATCACCGCTTAATTTTGGGTCATAGCTAGCTAGTTAGGTAGTGTTCGTGTGACACTCGATGTGAATGAAGTTAAACTTCCAACTTTCAGTACAGTCTAGAGCTATTTTCTTGCATGCCTGACAGTAATCAAATAGAGTTTGGGATATAATCTAATATTCAGTATGTTGGGATATTAGTCTGAAAAATCTAGAAATTTAGAATTTTTAGAAAAAAAATTCATTTTGGCCCATTCTGTTACAGATAGCAGGTTAAAAGTTTAGCATTTTTATAAATTGAATAAAGGAGTAAAATGTATTTTGATCCTTTAAAAGCTTCACTTTTCCTGGGCAACACGTTCATACAATCCATAGGAAGAGTTAAGGACTAACACGTTTTATTTACCAGACTCTTGTGAAAACATTGTAAATTTGGTTTCCATAGTTTAAGAGATGTCTGGGTTTTGTCAAAAGTTGATTCTTTCTTTCTTTCTATCTCTTTACATAGTTTAGTTTTGGATATTGATACAAAGCAATACAAAAAGGAGATTTATTTTTCTGACTTAATTTTTTTTCAAATCTTCATTTTTGAACATTGTTTTTATTTTGAAAACCCCTTTATTTTCAGATTACACAGTCCATTGTTAAAATGTCTAAACTTGTCAGTATTGTCAGTATTTAATATTTGTGCTTAAGTGTACATAATTTAATAAGGGTTTCAGTGAGTTATTTGAGTTTGAGTGAAAAATGATCAAAGAGGGAATCTTAATCTTTATATAACAGTCAAGACATCTCTTCTCCCCCTTTAAGAAACACTAGCTTCTTCCCCTCTCTCAGGAAAATGAGGCAGTTTAGAGAGTACAGATATTTAACTTTAGCTTTTATTTTCACAACTGTAATATAGTAAAGGATCAACATATATTTATGTTCCTAATTAGGTTGGTGTTGTGTGTTTGTGTGTGTGTTTAGATGTTTACAGAAATTTACACAACTTGGGGTGTTCGACATTTTTCTTCCACAGCAGTTGGCCCATATTAGATAAGCAGCCATGATCTGGTTTGTATTGCACGGTCTGCCTTTTTTTTTTAATTTCTTCTCTAGGGTTTCTTTCTCCCCCACTTTCCCTTCTTATTTCTGTTCTTCTGGTCCAGTGAACACTGCATATAGTACCTTCTGTCTTAACGTGCTGGCATGATGCTAGACTTAGGCATGGCAGTAATTGATGACGCATGTGATAATGCTGCAGAGGGAGAATTCACATCTGATGTGCTGAGAGCCCAGTCTCGTTTTGACTTAAGGATAAATGCCAAGCCCATTTTGCTCAGTTAAAAAAATCACTGAAGTTTTTGCTTTGTTCTGTATCATCTTGGGAATTACCACAAAGCAGAATTTTACAGTGAAATCTGTAGGCTAACTAGCTCAGTTACCTTGTACTTGAAAAATAATTTCATTGCTCTAATTTAATTTAAATGGTTTTAGGGGTGATCAAAGTTTAAGAACAGAACTGTCAGAAGCAAGGTCCACGTACCATATTCTACAAGGTACATGGTTTAATATTCTTAGGCTATAAGAATATTAGCCTCTGTGGGTACTCTGACTTAATACAGAAAATTTAATTAGACTAAGTTTGCACCCTAGTATTTATTATCACTATAATCAACAAAGATTTTTAAAAAGCACTAAATTAAGTTATATAAAACATGCCTTCTTTGAGAGCTAATTTTAAGGGTTTTTTCTGAACATTCCTTTGGCACGTGAGACTAGTGCTCTTTTTCCTCCCACACTGTCCAGGATTTTCCCCAGCATACGTCACAGGGAGAACACTCTCAGAAGACAGTCTGACTGAAAAATCATTTTTGAGTAATGCCAATGGGTAGCAATGGAATTGCTCTGTCCCATTTATTGAATAGTATTATCTTCCCCACTTAAAATGGCAAATGATAAGGCACTCAGGCTGTATATTTAATTTTTAAATAAGCATATGCTCAGAGATACATATTACTAAATTATACTTATAAATTTATTCCTGAAATATATAAATATATGCATTATTTGTGCTGCGGTAATTTAGATAGGAGGAGGAGCTTCATAGCTTACCTCACATTAGATAGAAGTGGGACATACTAGTTGGGGGTATTTTATTTCTGTTACCAAATTTGGGGATAAATTTAAAGTTTTTTAAGACACTCTTAAAATGATTTGCATTAAAGTAAGTAGTTTGGTATCCCCAACCCCCTCCCTTGCAAAAAAAGAACCTAATAACCTAAGGAATGCCCACCAAGTAGGTGTATATTAGTTTTATGACTGGCTGGCTATATTGAGCTGTCTTGTTCTAAGGTGGGAAATAGTTGCTTCAAACACACAGAAAGAGTCTCTGCTGAATTAAAGTCTTTCTCTGCAGCAATATCTATGAGAGGTGCTGACTGTTTTGCTACAGCATGCAACTCAAAAGTGGCTGGAAATATGCAGCTTTGGGAGTCTACAGATCATTGCAGGAGCTAAAGGTCTAGTCATTTTTTTTTTATTTAACAAAGGTAATCTGCAGCAGCTGGTAACCGTGGAAGTCTCTGCACAGGTTTGTGCCAAGAATTTACCTGTTTGAAAGGTTATTGTGAGTATAGGATTAAGGTCTTTTGTTTTGTAATAGGGTAAATTTGTTGCAGACCAGCAAGGTGGTAAATGAGATACAAGATGCAATAATGCATTATGCTTTTAGTAAACTCCTGAAGCTTACATTTGTTAGATGATATAGGTATTTTAATTTCAATCAGGAAATGTTGAAAACACTTAAAAATCTAGCATTTGTAAAGTATTTCATAGTCTTTGTTATAAAGATATATTTAAGTATCTTTCAGTAAAATTTCTGGTCAAGAATAAAATACCATTCTAAGAAAATTATGAAAGAATCACTAGACAATTTGAATATACGAATTAAAGAGAAGGTGGAAAGTGTTAACATTTTACCCTTATTACAAAAAACTTTATAGAACTTGAATTTTAAGTTATTGCTTTATGGGATTTTTAGGTCCCAACTATAATAATTATGACCTTCACATACTTAAAGATAAAATATTTACAAAACAAAACTTAATCTAAAGCCATGGATTGCCCAGTCTAGGATTGCACCATAGTTTTAAGAATTGATTGGTGTGATTTAGAATATATAGTTTTATCTGACCCTTACCAAAGAAAGAAGACAAGAAATCAAATGAGTGATTCTAAGGTGTACATGGAGCAGAATGCCTGCATCATAGACATAAACTATGTTGTCATTGTTGCAGTTGGAAGTAAAAGTACCCATGAACTAGTAGTTGGTCTCTGTTCTACCTGACTGATTAAAATCCTGCCTTTATATAGTTGTCAGGTTGACCAGGCAGGCTTTAAAAATTAATGTAAGTTTTCAAACTCCAGTTGCTGATGTTCACTTTGTTCACTAAGGATTTAGAAGTCTACGTGTAATTGGGTTTTGTCCTCTAACCTATCTGTTTAGATCTGTGGACTCCACTAGTTCCAAACTGTAACCCTGTAAGACTGCCGATTTGACATTTAGCAGTGACCATATGCGGACTGCACTATAAATAACGTGCTTCTTGGAGCTGAATGGTGTAGCATTACTATATGGTTTTCTCTCTAGTCTTCATTGTGTCATCTGTAGTGAGCTATATAGATTTTTTGTTTTGGGAATTTTTACAACTTGTTTGCATGGGTTCACCTTAGTAGCATTTGGTTTTTGCTTATAGAGTCTTTAATACACAATCAGCAAAGCTTACAATCCACTCAAGAGACTTAACCATTTTTGTCACTGTTGAATATAGACTAAGTGGTATAAATTGAACGTGGCTGTCAACTAAAAATTCAATGTTGAATTAATATTAATTCAGTCATTGACATAATTGTAGTACAGTTTCTCTTGAGACATAATTGCTATTCTAAAACTTTGAATAAACCCCACACAATAAAGTAAATTTTTATCCGTGTTTTTGGCAGACTCGCATTATACAGATTGGTGGTGCTGTTGCCAAAATGATTGTCGTTACTCTGAATGGTATACAGCTTTATGCAGCAGAGCAAAATTTCCTGGCCAAATATCTCCCTGATATTTAATAAATAGAAATGTTGAGGGATGACTGAAACAGTTAATAATGTTTTTTTACATTTTTTTTAAATTTTAAAATTTTGCTGATGTGTTTTCAGCATGTTGGTAGTTCATAATATACCTTCTTTTAAAAATCTTACTTAAAATTATAGTTTCATACAGATATTACAGGGGAACAAAAGATAAAAATGTAGCATTTTATCATGCATTTAATTTTTGAACTAGAAAAAAAATGTTTTAAAAGCTAACTGAGGTAACTTAGGTAAAAATAGTTTGGATTTTCAGCTCAGCTTCATAGTTTAACCAGAATTAAGAAGAACTTCATGCCTAACCAAAGAAAGTGCCGCCCTGCCACCATTTTGGAGTTTTGGGCATAGACAGGAACTAACAGGTTTTGGAAAACCAGCTTTTTGCCTACCATCCTTGGGTAAAAATTCAGTTGCTTTGTCAATTATTTTACAATTAGTATTTTCCTGTAGTTCTTCCATGTGCATTTAAATTAGGCTCTTGTGCCCCTCAGTCATAAACCAGACTGTGCTTAAAAAGGGAAAATTTTCCTATTTTTTTGGTCCTACAAGATTATACTTAAACACCAAATTTTATATTCTGTTTAAAAATAAAAACCTGAAGCCCTGACCAGTGTAGCTCAGTGGGTTAGGCGCTGTCCTGCAAAGCAACGGGTTGCTCTTTAGATTCTCAGTCTGGCTTGTGGGTTTGATCTCCACCTCTCTAAAAATAAGTAAATAAAATCTTAAAAAAAAATAAAAAACAAAGATAATTTATCAACTATTACAGTGACTGAAATAGTAGTTGTTACTATTTTAGAAGTTAATTTAGTGCTCACTGCTCTTGCTATGTCTAGATTACCTATTTGGGCTATAAATAATATTAATGAAAATAATTGGCAAAGCCACAACCCTAAACAGAGAGAAGAGTAGGTTCATTATTTTCACAGGCTGGTGATTGAATCCCTTATTGTTTCACAGTGAACGTTCAATGAACATTTTGATCATTTCAGAGGTAGACAAGTCTGCTTTGCTCTGCTTTGTAGAAGGTATTTTGGTGTGCCTTCCTTGTGGTATCCATCATCCTTAAACCTATTGGATTTTTGACAGGTGTTTGTAAAACTTTTCTTTTTTAGTAGGAAAAGGGGCCGTGTTGAATACTAGCCCTTTACAGAGCTGCCTTTATTCCTCCAAAAGCAGGTAGTCTGGGATGCTAGGGAGGGTCCAGATCTCCCCTGTCAGTCATTCACTTAGTCTAGGAGGCTGGTGAACAGGAGGTTCTGGGGTTTCTGTCTACTGTTTATGTTGCCTTTGTTATAATCACAAGGACATAGAGTGGCATGTTCATGATTTTAATATAGTTCCTGACAATTCATCCCCTGTTCACACTTGGGAAAGTAGATTTAATTAAAGAACAGTTTTCACCTAAAGTTTTAGAAGAGAAAGGCCACTGCCATTTTGCATCAGTAGCTTTTTTGAGAAGGTGACAGCCATCTTGAGTGGTTTTGTAAAAGTGGTGCTAATGTGTATAACTCTAAATTTTTCTTTTTTCTCCCTCTCCCTTTAACATTTGCTTTTCCTTTCACTGTTGTCAGTCACAACACGCTGCTCTTGAACCTCTCAGCTGGTCTTGACTCGTGAATTTACTTATGCTTTCACTCTTTAGTAAATACATTAATTGCAAGCAGTGAATTGAAAACAAGACAAAAAAAACGACCATTAGTGAATGGACAGTTTCTTACTTTGTGTTACATTTAACTGTTCTTTTGACAGCCCAGTTTTTAAAGCCAGGTTCGTATGGAAATGCTTTCACTCCACTTGCACTGCTTTTGGAAATAGCATACTGCTTCATCTGTCTGTTTATTTTAGTGCATTCATAATATAACACGGTCAGCATAATGTCTCATCTCCACTTAGCCAAAGATTGAGTATTCTTAAATAAAAAAGGGGGCAGCAATTTTTGTCAGCAGGGTTTAATACCATAAATCTCTGTGCCAAGTACACTTACAACAGTAGTCTATTAAAAAATTAAACAATTATTTAATCAACCACATAATCTTGGAGTCATTCTGCTTTCTTGGTCCTGTCTGTAGTTACTCAGTTGTAGGAGTTAATAAGGGTGGTATGTGCAGGTAAGTGTATTTTCCTAGTAGTGTACTAAAGGCCTCTGCACCTTTTCATTCTCTGCTGGCATTGCTTGCATTAAGGCATTTATTTATTTATTTATTTATTTATTTATTTATTTATTTATTTATTTATTGCGGTGAGGTTATTTATAAATATTTAAGTACTTAGTACTGGTAAAGGGGATGCTTTTGGGAGGAGAGAGGGGAAGAAGAGGCAGCAGAGTTAGATCAAGTATTTGTGATGTATAATAATGCAGAAGTCATCACCTGGCATCACATATAATCATAGCATTTTCTGATTCTTTCCGTTCCTAGCAAAAAATTTCCAGTGACCTTTTTTGTACCATAATGATATTGTATGTGCATATGTATGTGTATGTAGGTGTATATACATATACTCACACACATACATATATTTGAAACAGTAGTATCTTTTGTTTTAGAAACAAGTTTTTCATTATCTTTTGCTTCATTTTTATTTTTTAAAAAGCCTGCTGACCTCTTTCTCCCCATCAATGAAGTACTCAGCTACTCAGCTCAGTTTTCCAGTTTGTATGAGGTCATAAACTTGTAGAAGAAAACTGTCCTTTAAAAAACAAAACAAAACAAAACAAAAACAGAACATTGGGGAAGGTTAACCTTCCACCTCTAACTTTCTGTCAGAGAAAGTAACAGTAAAATAACTTTTTTCTTTCCTCTATTGCTCCAAAGAGCGTTTTATTATTGGTATGGAGCTAAATAAAAGGTAAAAAACAGTTTCATATGAGATGTTCTATTTTTATACAAAGTTTTATGGTTTTGTTAGCTTTTAAATTGATTTTGGGAAATACAAAATTATTTTCGAATGGTGATACCAGATTAGCACTGTAAAATAAATTTTAATACATATAGAACACTTGTTTATAATTTTTAAATGCCTTCCTTTGGATAAGTAGCATCATTTTATCTGATACAGTTAAAGGTTATTTTAGCTTTGTTTCTGTACTGGACAGTATTAGTAAAAAAGCAAAGAATGGGACAAAGGTATGCAGAGGTTTCTAAGATTGTGACTCCTTACACGAAAGCTGACATTTAATTGTTGTTTCTGGTGTCTTTTCATACAATTTACATTGAAATACCCTTTCCAGTGTGCTCCTAGGAAGATGAGACATTATGTATATTGGTTTTTTCCCCCTACATGCACTAATGGTTCTTTACTGTTAACTTATTGCTAGGCCTGTTTCATTCTAACATTTTAGCATTTTTGTTAGATTACATGTTGAAATGCATCACTCAGTCTGTGCTTGAGCTCATTTTATTTTTCTGTTTAATCAGTTTAATTTCTTGTTTTACTAACCTCACTGTTTTTTCAGTTTAATATTGGCTGCATGCTAGTTAAATATTTATATTTTATATATATTTAAAAACCAATCAAGTCTAGCCTGGATTTTGCTCTGATTGTGTTTTCATTTCTAGTGGTGGGGCAGTCTTACACTGACAACTTACTTTGTATCATGAAAGCCTGACACATAAACAATATAACTAAACACAATGTAGATCTTCTTTTAAAAAAAATCTTAAAGTGGTGCTGTCTAGGTGGTGGATATGATTGTATAAGTACCTTGATTTTTATGCTTTTTTAATGTTAGTTTAAAACTTCATAAATGTATTCTTCCTTCTTTTCCCCTTCCCCTTTTTCTCCTTTTTAAAATGTTATGTACAAAAGTTGCCCAGCACACCATCAGAAAGGACCCTCACCCTCTATATTCTTTCCATATAAAATACTAGCCAGCATTTCTTTTTACATTAATGTCCCTTTATTGGATACATTTACCCTACTATTAGCACCTTTTTTGCATGCATATATGTAGACTTATCTCTTGCTCATCACCTGTTTATATGTCACTAGGAAGGGAAGAATATATTATCGGAATATTTTTGGTTTGTCTCTCTGTTCTGTCTGTCAGGATAATATTGGACATCGCTTACTCCAGAAACATGGGTGGAAGCTGGGCCAGGGATTGGGAAAATCTCTTCAGGGTAAGTTTTTTAAATGTACAAAAAGAAAGAAAGAAAGAAAACAATGTTTCTGATGCAGATCTTGTGCCTGAATATATTTGTTGTCCTTCTTAAAAAAGTGTTTGGGTTTTTGTTTTGTTTTGTTTTTTTTACCATCTGCTTTCCCCCTCCTAGAATAGTCTGTTTTTCCTATACCTGTATTTTAAGTTACTATTAAACTAATAATTTGTAAGATTAAGCTTCTGTGTCATGAATACTTTCTGTTCAAAGATATTGTCTACGGCTCAACCTGTTTTAGATTTTTTTGATGGAGGTAATGGGTGGGTGGAATAAAAGAAATACATAGTAGCAGGGTATGCGTCATCTCATTTAGTGGTGTTCCACTGTGGCTTCAGTATTATAAATAGGGGAACCATTCAACAGCACAGTTTAATTGTGCTATTGCCGCCACCCCCCCCCCCCATATACACACACATTTTCCCCAAAACTGGTTCTTGCCTTGGCTCTTTTTCTCTGCAGTTGGAGTCTATATAGTAGTAGAAAGAAAAAGGAACACACTTCACATAAAACATAAAATGTAAGCAGAGGTTTCCTGTGGCTCTCTAAGCAGAAAAGCCATTTCTCAGGTTGAGATCAAGCTGTGGGAAATGGATGTCATAGAGTTTCCATTGCATTTATTTTTTCTTTTAATATACTAATCATTTGGATATAAATAAAATAGTACTATTTTTCCAAGTTCTTGCTGGTTGGAAACCAGCCGGCTTCTTTCACCTTTTTTCTCCCTCATATTCAAAGGCTACTGTTCATTCTTTGCAGATGTGAAGTGTACACTACCTCAGAAATGATGGGAGTCATTGTGCAGTACTTCTGCACCTGGTTATGAGGGGTTCTCATTGTATAGGAATCTTTGGGGAGAGGTGTGCTACTGTTGACTATTTGCTTTTTGGAAATGAATTTTCATAATTTGAATGGGAAGTCTTAATCAACTCGAGTGTGTGTTAAGGGGCTCAGGAGTGATGACTAGGGAAGACTTCACAGTTGAGTGTTAAGGAGGGAGGAGTAATAGGTGTTACCAAATACAAGGTAATTGTATTTGCAAAGAGCATGGCTGGCTGGATGAGAGAATGCCCTTAGGGCAGTGGATTTTATACATTTATTTTTTGGCAGAAGAACCTTCCAAAATATTTTTTTAATGTTGAACCTTAACATATAAAAGGAAAGAGCTACCACAGTTACTTTGGTTGAAGTAGAGTTCTGTGTCTCCAGGAGTAGTTTGGAAACCATAACTAGAAGGCAGTAATGGGAAGTTGGTTTGAATAGGCACAAATCTAGTACTTATTGAGTATTTACTATGTACTAAGCGCTTAACATCTCATTTAATCTTAGAACAGATGTGAGATAATTACTGTTCCCATTTTGCAGAAAAAGAAACTGAGATTTAGAGAAGTCTAGTAAGTTGCCCAAGAATAAACAATCAGTAGGTAACAGTATCAGAACTCAAATTTTACAATGGTGGCATAGACAAACATGGCTCGCCCCTTTGCACAACCACATCAGAATTATAACTAAAATTGAACAACCATCACTCAGAAATGTCAGAAATCGAGTTAAGTGGAAACTCGTCTGACAGATAAGGAGTTAAATCTCACATCCATTGAGATTGATAGGAGGGGCGCAGACACAGAACAGGCTGGTCTCTCACCCACGTGTGGTAGAAAAAAATCCGGAAGGGATATGTTGGGAGTGAGGAGTCACAGGCCCACACCAGGCTTCCCAGCCAAATGTTCCAGTGCCAGCAAGATAAGTACCCACAACTTCTGGCTGCAAGACCAGTAGCAATTGAATCAATGGAAGAAACTTCTGGAGCCCCAAGCATTTCCTCTTAAAAAACCCACACATGGACTCACCTACTCAGATTCACTCCCTCTGAGCTCTAGTGCTGGGGTGGCAGCTTGAAGGGTACAGTGGCATACTAGGAGAGGCTGAAGTGTCTGGCATTGAGGCAGGCAGAGGCTATTGTCCCTTTTATGAGCCCTCCCCCTGCAGAGCTACAGAGCTGGCAGGCTGGTGCCATATTTGAGACTCCATCAACCTGGGTAACAGGTTGACCCATCTTGGAGATCCTTAGAGACTCCGTCCCACCCAAGCTGCTTTTCCATATGAGTAACTGGTCTTGTCTCATGTTTCACATCTTCCTAAATTTTATCAAACAAGCAACAGCTGGCCTCAGTGAGCTCCAGACAGGGCACTAGCACCAGCCAGATTAGTTTGACACCTTGGCTTTGCCTGGGAATATCCAAGCCCAGTAAAAGTAGCAGCCTTCTTATATTGCTTTATAGCTCAGGAAGGGTGGCCTGAGCAAAACACAGGTGGGAGCTGACCTTGGCCTGCACCACCCAGGAAACCCCAGGGCCAAAGCACTCACTGGACAGCTCTAAGCCACTTCATAGCACCACCACCCTGCTCCTGCACATCTGATCCTCCACAGGGCAGATGTTGGTGGTAAGTGGTCACAGCCAATCCTTGCAGCTGACTGGCCTGAGTAAATCCCTCCCATTGATCTTCCAACAGCAAGCAAGGCTCAACTACAAGAGGAGGGTGTACTCAGCCCACACAAAAGGGTATAACTCGAGTACCCAGCTAGGGTGATAGGGGAGGCTGTGCCAGTGGACCCTATAGTGTATCTACTACATTAGGCCACACTACCAAGATGTGGAATACTTAATACAAAGAAATAAAGACAAGGAAGCTCCCAAAATGAGGAGACAAAGAAACATGGCCCAAATGAAAGAACAGCTCAAAACTCCAAAAAAAAAAAAAAGAGAGCTAAACGAAATGGAGATAATCTATCAGATGCAGAGTTCAAAAACACTTGTTATAAGGATGCTCAAGGAACTTAGTGAGGACCTCAGCAGCATAAAAAAAAAATCAGAAACAAAGGATTCACTAATTGAAATTAAGAACACTTTACAGGGAAACAACAATAGAGTGGATGAAGCCAAGAATAAAATCAATGATTTGGAATGTGAGAAAGCAAAAAACAACCAATCAGAATAAAAAGAAGAAAAAAATAATAAAAAAAAATGAGGGCAATATAAGCAGCCTCTGGGACAACTTCAAGAGGTCCAACATTTGCATCATAGGGGATGCCAGAAGGAGAAGAGAAAGAAGAAATTGGAAACCTATTTGAAAAAATAATGAAAGAAAAGTTCCCCAATTTGGTAAAGGAAATAGATACGCAAGTCCGGGAAGCACAGAGAGTCCCCATCAAGTCGGACCCAAAGAGACCCACGCCAAGCCACATCATAATTAAAATGCCAAAGGCTATAGATAAAGAGAGAATCTTACAAGCGACAAGAGAAAAACAGAGAGTGACCTACCGGGAAGTTCCCATTAGACTGTCAGCTGATTTCTCAAAAGAAACTTAGTAGGCTAGAAGGGATTGGCAAGAAATATTCAAAGTCATGAAAAGCAGGAACCTACAGCCAAGATTGCTCTACCCAGCAAAGCTGTTTAGAATCAAAGAGCAGATAAAGAGCTTCCCAGATATGAAAAAAAACTAAAGGATTTCATCATCACCAAACCATTAGTATATGAAATGTTAAAGGGACTTATTTAAGAAAAAAAAAAATCAAAACTATGAACATTAAAATAACAACTATCAACAACTGAATCTAAAAACATAAAAACGAAAAGAAACTAAGCAAACAACTAGAACAGGAACCGAATCATAGATACAGGTATTATTTGGAGGGTTATCAACTGGGAGGGGGAAGGGAAAGAAAGGGGGAAGTGGTGTAGGGATCAAGAAGCATGAATGGTAGGAACAGAATGGACAGGGGCAAGTTAAGAATAGCATAGGAAATGGAGAAGCCAAAGAACTTAACACGCACAACCCATGGACATGAACTGGGTGGGAGGCATTGCTGGAGGGAAAGGGGGCACTGGGGGAGGGAAACAAAGGGGGAAAATGGGAACAACTGTAACAGCATAATCAATAAAATATACATAAAAAAAGAATTCAGATTTTGGTTTTTCTGACTCTAAAACCCATGCTGTTAACTACCACACTGAGTGTGCAAGGCTTTAATGCTCTTCCAATTTGGAATTCTATTTTTTATAAGCCAGGGGCAGTTTCTGATCAGAGGAGAGTTATAGACTTTAATTTTTTAATTTTCTATTTATTTTAAAAAGAGAGACAGCAGTTTGCTGTTCCACCTAATTATGCATTTATTGCTTGATTCTTGTATGTGCCCTGACTGAGGATCAAACCCGCAACCTTGGCATATTGGGGTGATGCTCTAAGCTCTAACCAACTGAGCTACCCAGCCAGAGCAGGAGAGGTAGACTATATAGCAAGAGATGATAAAGATAATTTAATCAAAATTTGTTTTACAGATGAAGAATGTTAGGTTTAGGATTCCAGCATATGCTAGTGACAATGCTGAAATCAGTCCCAGATCTTCTGATTTGTGATCTGTTCTTTTGAGTATACCAACCAGGACATTTGCAGTAGAAGTTAAATACTAGTCTAGTCAAAATATGTCTGAAAATGAAGATGGAAAACCATTTAGGAAGTTGTTTGAGTATGAGTTGAGGTCCTAGAATAGAGTGATAGCAATGGAAATGGAAAGGAAGGTATAAATACAAAGGATGATAATGCAGATCAACCATGAAGCACATTTAAGAGGTGGGACCCCCCCAAAAAACAGTATTTCTTTATATAAAATTTTTTAAAATTTATTCTTACATGTTAAAACTTCAGTCACCTTCAAAGTATTCTCCATTTGTTGCAGGGCACCTATGGAGTGCAGGGCACTGCTCAAAACAGTGTTTGACCCTGTCAATTTTTATGCCTTTTAGTGCTTCTGCTGTTTTTTGTTTCACCTCTTCTGTATTGGCAGAACGTTTACTTTTGAGGACTTTTATTTCACCCAGGGAAACAAAAAAAAGTCACTGTGGGCGAAATCAGGTAAATAGGGAGGGAGGAGCACAGGGGTCATGTTGTTTCTAGTCAGAAA